ACACACACACACACACACACACACACACACACAAACACACCTTACACCAGAACCTTTTAACATAGCAGTGAACTTTGAGTCCGAGACATTGCTCTTCTCCAAGACTCTGTGAGCCAGCGCGCTGTTGAAAGTAAGCACAAGATTTATTTGCTGCACTTTGTAGGTGAAAGGTGTGGCTAATCTTGTTTACAATGTGTGTGTTGGTGATATATTACCTGCTTGACTTTGTGTAGAAACAAAAGCACAGTGGTGAAGCGCTTATTTTGCAGTGGTTGGTTTTTCTCCATAATTAATTATTCTCTTTATCTATCTATACTGTCTTGACCAATCACATCAAACAGAGGATTATGTCAAATTTGGTAAAAATTACCTCAGCATATTTTCACATTTCAGATTTTTAAGCTACATTTTGATATCGAGACCTTGCTGATATTATGAGAGGTTTGGCTTGATTTGTCTTSCTAATCAGGATAAGCCATTGATATCTGGCCTGAATCCTATTTTTRGGTTATTCTAATGAGGACTTTTGATGTCATTGTAAAGATGAARTCTCAAACAATACGTATGTAGATATTGAGATTTACCAACAGGAAAAAAAAAAGCTTTGCTAGCTCGCAGGGAAAATAACCAAAAAGTGAGGCTTTTCTGCTAAAAATCATGGTTTCTGTTGCTCCAGTCCGATCATTTGTTCTGAGATGTAAATTAAGATTTGTGGTGTGTTAGACTAAACAATGTCTGAAGATGAACCTATAAAGTCTGCTGAGTAAATAAGGGCATTTCACTTCATATAAATTCAATCAAACTGTAATTTTCCTTCTCCACTTGTGGTTTCTGGACTCATACATGTCCTAAACTGACAGAAAGCCCCTATATATACTTCTTATCATGATCACAGGTGGCTAGAYGTTATTTTCTCTTTGGTCTGTCACCTGAACAGACAAATTGTGTCTTTACACAGCCAACAGTCGTGTGTTGGCTTCCACTGCTGATAAGATTATCTCTAAAACTTAAAAAGACAGCTCAGATCTTTRGAGGTGGGATCCTTTAGAAAATGATAAACAATTATTATTGTACCCGTTGTAAATGGCTCTTTGAACAACCTCGGTTTGGATAAC